GGGAGGGAGCGAAGGAGGGAGGGAAGGAAAGCGTAGCCACGTTCTGGCTAAAAGCTTAAATCCTGCTTGAGCAGGGTCGAGCCTGGGCTCCAGCTTCCTTAAGTGCTGACCATGTGCCTTGGCGTTTCTGCGTAGCTGTTGCAATTACAGTGAGTGCAGCCGATGGGTAGCTCCAGCAGGCCTGAGTTGTTTGTAGCACCGGCTTTAAGCAAGTAGTTCCAGCTGCAGTAACCACTTGTAGCTAAGGTCAGTTGGGCCTGAGTCCTAAGCTGAGCTAGGGAGCCGGACCCGGCCAGGTGGGAAAGCGCCAAGCCAAGCGGTTTTTAATGAGTTCTTGCCACAGGGGTTGCCAAATGTAGATGTAACAGTCTTGTTAAATAAGAAACACAGAGCCAATACAGAGATGAAAGCCCAAGAGGTCAGAACAATAGCTAAGCGCTAAAAACCTTACCCTTCATTGCTGCTCCTGTCCTTCCCTCCACAAGAGACCCACTTCCTGTGTGTTTGTCCTTTTTATTGACTTTCTATTCTGCCTTCTCATTGGTTGTAAACCCAACCACATGACCTCCTTGGCACTGCCCATCTATACAGACCTCCAGGTCTTCTATGGTTGGTATTGAGATTAAAGGCGTGTGTCTCCATGCTGGCTGTATCTTTGAACACACAGAGATCTGCCTAGCTCTGCCTCCCAAGTGCTGGGATTAAAGGCATGCACCACCACGGCCGGCTTCTGTTATGGCTTGCTATTAGCTCTGACCTCCAGGCAACTTTATTAACACACAAATAAAATCACATTTCAGTACAAATAAAATATCACCATAGCAGGGGGATGTCTTTGAGTTCCAGAGCAGTCTGATTTACACAGCAAGTTCCATGCCAGGGGGATTTACATAGTAAGACCCTGTCTCCAAGAAAACTATCATCTGAAGATGTTAATGAAAACATTCCTCCTGCAGCAGCTGAGAGGGCTCAGCAATGAACAGCACCTGCTGTTCTTGCAAAGGACCAGAGTTGGGTTCCCAGCACAGACATTAGCCAACTCACAGCCTCCTGTAGATGCAGCTCCAGTGCTTATGGTGACCTCTTCTGACCTTCACAGTCAACTGTACTGGGTACAGTAGAACACACCACATACAATCATAAAATATATACAACCTACATATTTCTGTTAAGCTGCATTTTCTTAAATTTCAAATAAAAAAACTAGTAAAAAGACAGAAAATCCACCCATTTTTTAGTGAGAAAGATAAAAGTATTTGTCAGAATGTAAACATCCATAAAAGATCTATTCTTTCCACTATAATTATGCTTTGAAAAATAGCTAATCTTCTTTTAATATATCCTTCTTACATGCAGTTGGTTATTAATATCTTCAATGAAGTAAATGTTTCAAAACTTTTGGTTCATAGCATAGTAAATATGGATTGATAAAAATCCACATAACCAGAATTATATCGAGGTCCATTCACTTTCTAAGGGTGTATAGAGATCCTGACATCAAATAATTGGGAATTACTGACTTATCTTTTCCTGAGATGGACTCAAAGTGTAGTTGCACTTTCTTTTCCACCGCCAGCCTCAAATAAAGACATGGAGACTTATTATTAATTATGAAATCTTGGGGCTTAGCTTTAGGCTTGTCCAACTATAACTTAAATTATTCCATTTATATTAGTGTACGTTTTGCCTCATGGCTTTTTACCTTTCTTTCATTCTGTATGTCTGACTCCTTCCATGTCTCATTGGCATCTTTCTCTCACCTAGAATCATCTGGAATTCCTCTCTTTTTCCAGGAAGTCCTGCTTATCTCTCCTGCTTAGCTCTTGACCATTCAATTCTTCTTATTTTTTTATTATAGCTTTTACTTTTTATTACACCAATCACAGCAACACAACTTCACACAGTGTACAAATATCCCACAATAAGCAAGATGTTGTGAAAAGGACCAGTAGGACATGTTAATCAATTGTCCCCAGACACTGTTCCTGGGATACAAGGCCCCAGAGCTTGTCTGAGGTGGGAGAGTGGGACTCAAGAGATGCAGCGTCTAGGAGTTCATCTTCCCATCACCCACTCACCAGTCTCTGTCACTCCCACAGAGAATTCTAGGAAAGGCAAGCAGCCTCCCTGAAGTCACACTTATAAATGAAAAGGGACCTGTCCAAGTCAATCTGTGCTCATCACTTGATTGAGGGCCACTATGCTCTGTGCCTTCCTCTGGCTATGGGGCGGGGGGGGGGGGGGACGGGACGGGGGGACTAAACTAGATTTAAGTACCAGGTCTGGAGGGGAATGATCTGAGAAACTGCAGCACCTAATAAGGCTTCTTTCCATTGTCACCCAACCAAACCCTCCTGGCTTTTCCTGCTGGACTGCCCTTATCTGTAGCTAGATTTTTCCTGCCTGGCCCACAGTCAGGACAAATCTTTGTCACCTGCCAGCCCCACAGCCGCTCAGACCCAACCAAATAAACACAGAGACTTATAGTGCTTACAAACTGTATGGCCGTGGCAGGCTTCTTGCTAACTGTTCTTATAGCTTAAATTAATCCATTTCCATAAATCTATACCTTGCCACATGGCTCGTGGCTTACCAGAATCTTCACATGCTTCTTGTCCTGGCGGCGGCTGGCAGTGTCTTCTTCTGCCTTCCTGTTCTTTCTTTTCTCCTCTCTGTTAGTCCTGCCTATACTTCCTGCCTAGCCACTGGCCAATCAATGTTTTATTTATTGACCAATTAGAGCAACACATTTGCCATACAGAACATCCCACAGCACTCTTCGTCACCCCTTGGGCAAGCCCTGAGCCCTATTCATCTCAAGCCAGTGTACCTGCCAGGGGCCCCAGGAGGAGGGCTGGGGTATCACTGTCTGCGTGGTTTCCAGTTCATACTCCGTGATGTGTTTACAGACCCTTGTGTTCATCTCTCTATTAAACCAATCAGAAGGTGCCTTAGGCAAGTGAAGAAGGACAGAGAGAAAGACACTGAAAGGGAAAAAAATCAGTAACCATCTTGAGAGACGCTTCCTCCTCCCCTCCTCCAAAGGTATTTGCTGACCAACAGTTTTAGAAAGTGACCAGAAGTTGAACTTATAAGGCTAGGACAATAAATCTATGTATCCTGGACTTGGCAAAATAAGATATGGGGAGTAATGGGCTCAACTGACCTCAGAGGAGAGTAAGACTGGAACAATAAATATAAATGTATATATCCTGGGTTCAGCAAAAGCAGGACATAGGGAGTCTCTGCAGATACCCTGAATCCTGTTAGCCATCAGTAACCTCATGCTTATAGTTCAGCCAGTAACTTCAAAGAACTACCTACCTCTAGCCCCCTCATCCAATCCCAAGCTGCATGTAAACCTTTTCTATATAAACCCCTTAAAGTAAGTGCTGGGGGTGGAGGTGGGCGTTCTCCTCCACCTGCTGTGAGGGATGTAGGATGCAGACCAAGCTTGCTTGTTTTGTTATTAAAAACCTCTGTGTGCTTGCATCGGATATTGGCTCTGTGGTGGTCTTGCTTGGGGGTCTTGCGACCTGGGCACAACAACACATCTTCACACAGTGTACAAAAAGATTATCCCAACAGGGGATCATTGTCCACCCACTCCCCACCTTGTGCTGATATACAGAGGTCTTGCTATTTCTTTAAACTCTGATATCCAGAGGCAGCAATACCTAGCCACACCTAGGAACTCTGAAACCCGTCTTTTTCTCTTAATCTTTGAAGTTGGCATCTGAAGGATGACAGCAGTCCTACCCTGAGAGAGGCTCCTAGAGCCCCCTTTCAGTTGGTAGCCAGGATAGATAACTTCTGATGTACAAAATTGGACTTTCTTAGCTGACATTCCATAGCTCAAGGCCTGAAACTCTTGCAGAAGTCCTGCAGTGGATCTTTTATAATCTGTTTTCCCTGGGAACTTCTGACAAAAGGGCAGGAAGTTTGCATTTCATGTTTTTTAAATCCCGGGTAACCTGGTCCAGGTATGTTGCCCACTGTAACCTCCCATTGGGTCTGTCCATTTAAAAGCAAAGATGGGTTGACTCACTTCTGCCAATGGGAGGCTGAAGAACACATCTTTCAGGTACAAGATAGTGTACACCACACCTGTTTCCCTGGAAGAATCAGACTCATGAGAATTAGAGGTCCCACGTTTCTTCACAGGCAGAAGAGATATATTCCAGGGTGACCTGCAGGGCAAGTAATGTAGACAAGGCGCTCCTAGGCCTCCTAGCTCCATCAGCCTCAATTATGGCATGTTACATAAATAATTCCTGCTGCCAGGTATGGTGGCTCCTATATGTTGCTGGAGTTTTCCTGCCTTGCCCACAGTCAGGACAAATCTTTGTCACCCGCCAGTCCCACAGCCGCTCAGACTCAACCAAGTAAACACAGACTTATATTGCTTACAAACTGTATGGCCGTAGCAGGCTTCTTGTTAACTGTTCTTATATCTTAAATTAATCCATTTCCATAAATCTATACCTTGCCACGTGGCTCGTGGCTTACCAGCATCTTCACATGCTGCTTGTCATGGTGGTGGCCGGCAGTGACTCCTCCTGCCTTCCTGTTCTTTCTTTTCTCCTCTCTGTTAGTCCCGCCTATACTTCCTGCCTAGCCACTGGCCAATCAGTGCTTTATTTATTGACCAGAGTAATTTGACATACAGACCATCCCACAGCACAACACAACATCCACTCAATGAACAAGACCTTCCAGTGACATGGACGCAGCAAACTATGAGGGATTCTATGGTGTTTCAAGTTCCAGAATGTAGGTAGCATCTGCATCAACCTAGTGAAGTGTCAAAGATAGAAATCTCCAACTAAACTAGGTGGCGACCTATGCTTCTATCTCAGTACTCAGGATGTCTGCGAGTTCCAGGCCAGCCTCAAAAAAGGTCAAATGACTTGAGGATGTTAATAAAAATACTCCCCCTCCCATCCCATAACTGAAGAGATGGCTACACTGTAGATTGCTTGCTTCTCTCGAAGAGGACCGGAGCTGGAGTCCCCGAAGTCTGGCTGCTCACACTTTCTGTGCATCCTTCTCCACAGCTTGTAATACCCTCTTCTCCTCCATAGGCAAGCTCACTCCTAAACTTCACACATACATAGACACACAAACAAACACATGAACAGAAAATAAAGAGAAATCCGAAAAATATTCTTTCTGTAAAGTTCTGTGAATCTGCATTTCTTACACTGCACACATAAAACTGAAATGTTAAAGGGAGACTCAAAGGAACTCTGGTGGGAAAGCTGAGGATAAGGACAGGCAGACATGTAAGCATCTATTACTTTCACCATATCATTATATTTTGGAAAATAGTTACTACTTTCTTAAACATTCTACTTACATGAGATTTGTTATTAATATGTTCAATGAAGCAAATGTCTCAGAATTCTCAGTTCCTAATGTGGTGACCATGGATTGAGATAGTGCACACAAGCATGAGTACCTTTGAGGGATAATCCATTTCTGAGCCTGTATACACACATCCTGACATCAGTGTTTGAGAATTGCTGACTTGGGGGCCCTTTGGTTTGACTCAGAAGGATGTTGTGACCAGGACCAGGTGTGACCAGGACCAGGCGGACAAGGACCAGGGTAAGTAATTCACTGCTCCTGGGATACCAGGTCTCAGAGCTGGATCAGAGCCAGGAAAGTAGTGCCCTAGAGATTCCGCTAACAGGAGTTCATCTTTCCGTGACTCAATCCCAATGCTCTCTATCACTACCACTGGGAATTCTTAGAGAAGCCAATCAGCCTCTTGCATTTTAACATTATCAGATGAACACAGATTCTCACTGACTCACTCTCTACTCTTTAAGCAGGATGAAGACCCTCATACCTCAGGCTCTCCTCCTGCTGCTCCTGGTTACCCTGGCCCTGACCAAGCATCCAAAGGGTGAGTGTAGGAATCTAAAGGGAAAGGACCTAATCTGGGGAAGCAAATGGACTCTACCCTAGGGGTACAGCACCAAAGAAGCCTGTCTCCTCCCTAGCCCAACCAGAAACTTCTGTTCCCTTCTTCATTTTGCATCCTGTCCCCGCCCCCCCTCCACCCGGGGCCATGCACTGGCCTGGATTAGGTGGAGGATAGAGCTCTAAAGGCCCACTGTACCTAGGTTCATACCAGCTGTGCCATTTCCAAACCCTCCTGACCTGGCCCGGCCTCGTGGAGTCCCAGTTCATCTCTGCCAGCTATGTAGATGACACACAATTCATGGGATTCAACAGCAGGGCAGAGACTCAGAGGATGGTGCACCAGGCCCCATGGATGGATCAGCAGAAGCCAGAGTATTGGGAGGATCAGACACAGAGCATCATGAGAGAAAAAACATTCTTCAAAGAAGTAATGAAGAAAGTGCTCCACATCCATAACCAGAGCATGGCTGGTAAGTGAACCCCAAGCAGAAACCCCGACCTTCAAGCTCTCCTTTGGGTTGTCCCAGTACGCCATGTCCAAGGTTCACCCCCAGAAAATGTAACCCAGGGAGACTAAGCTCCAGAGATCCACGGGACACTGACATGGGTTTCTGAGCAGTTTAAGTCCAAATCTGGCCGCTTAGAAAGGCCACGTGGGAGGGACCGACCCACTGGAGGGCCCTACCAAGGGACCTGGTCCTGTGGGAGGGGGCTGAGAGAGAATGCTTGACCAGGACATCACACAATCCAGAGGAGGTATGGCTGCATTGTGTTGCCTGGAGGGTACTTCAGTCGCGGGTTCCATGAATTAACCTTCAGTGGCCATGATTACATCGCACTGAACGAGGACCTGCGCACCTGGACCTTGTCCGGCAAGGCTGCTAAGATGCTCAGAGGAGAGTGGGAAAGGACAGGTTTTGCACAAGTGGTGAAGACTTACCTGAAGGATGAATGCGTTGAGTTGCTCCTCGCACAGCTGGACTATGGGAAGGAGACTTTGCTGAGAACAGGTAAGGATAAATACTGCCTCATCTGCTCTGAGACTGGAGCTCCTGTCCTCTGAGGATTCCTCCTCAGCAGGGAGAAGCTGGAATACTAACTCAGCCTTGCATCAAAGCGGCAAGAGTGCCATGGGTTTCCTAATTCAATAAGAGAGGGACTCTCATAGGGCTAAGCCTTCTCTCCGCACACTTCAGTTTTTTCAATTAAACAGCAGTACCCTTCCACTTGCTTTGTGGACCACGAGCTCTCTCGGGCCTGTTTCCTGTCCACCATGCACAATGACTTTGGAGTCTTTCATCTCCACTGAGTCAGAACCAGAAGTCCATAATCCTAGAAGGAGATCCAGACTCTCCTGCTCTGTGCTGGCTTGTGCTGGTTCTTAAACTTTCCAGGGAGTAGATTACCCGACCCATATCCCGAGTTTAGGCTGATGGGTGGGGTCTGCACAACTCCTTCAAGCCAACTCTCCCTTCCATTCAAAACAAGGTAACAGAGCATTGCTGGATTCCCAGGAAGAAGGCAAAATGACTGGATTTTCCAATTGTTTCCCTCAGACACTCCCAAAATACTTGTAACCCAAAAAGTCAGAACTGATGGGAAAATCATCCTGAGATGCTGGGCCCTGGACTTCTACCCTGCTGAGATCACCCTGATATGGCAGAGGGATGGGAACAACCAGACACAGGACATGGAAATGATGGACACCAGGCCTGCAGGGGATGGGACCTTCCAGAAGTGGGCAGCTGTGGTGGTGCCTTCTGGGGAGGAGCAGAGATACACATGTCATGTGACTCATGAGGGCCTGCCTGAGCCCATCACCCTGAGATGGGGTAAGGACTGGGATTGACCACAGAGCCTATCACAGAGAGAGTGGGAGGCTTTGGGAGAAATGGATCAGGGTCATGACTGATAGCGGGAGGTCAGAGGCCTCACTGTTCCTTCCATTCTCTGTCAGAGCCTCCTCAGCCCTCTGTCCCCATCATGCCAATTGTTACTGGCCTGGTTCTTGGAGCTGTGCTTATGGGAGCCGTGGTGACTTTTCTGATATGGAAGAGGAGGACTAAAGGTAAGGAAAGGGCAGGGTCTGAGTTCAAGTCTCCATGGGAATATCAAGTCCAGCTGAGAGTGTGCCCTGCCACATGAGAGCAAAGATTCCTCCACACAGTTGCTTATTCAGTCTTGTGCTGATGTGCTGACATTAACTCTATTGTGAAGGAAATAATGAACAGATTCATCACTGCAGTGATAGAGGTGGCAGAGACCTGATCCTCAGCTCTCAGAAGTCAGATGGAAAGGTTCCTACTTAGAACACATATCCAGGAGTCCACTTAGTCCTCCTCATATACAATCTACTATCAGTTTTCCCCATCTTTCTCTGGATCTGCAGTCACAGTTCTGGAAACTTTAGATAAGGACCAGGAGATTCCTCTAGGCCTTCTAGATCCCGCTGCCTCCTTGAGCTGTAATAAAAGGGATTATTCCCAGGGGTAAACGGTGAGGCAGCCGTGTTCAGACTTGCCAGTCTTTATACTGGGGGCTCTTCCCTGAGACACCTGTGGCAGTGTATGCAGGAGCCATGGAGGTTCTCAGCCAGCCCATAGCTCCTCATCAGTTTGTCTTCAGAGGCTTTGACTTGGTCTTGTTTTGCTTTCCCACGGTGGGGTGGGGGAGTGGGGGTGGGGGGTGGGGAGGGTAAAGTTCCTAGGATGTCCAGCCTTCTGTTCCAGCTTTAAAAACTGATACCCTAAAGGGCCTGGTGTGAGACAGGGAGAGGTCAGAGGATAGAACCCTGGGGTGTGAGCACTTCTGGGATTGGGACAGTCTGTGTGTGTGATGAGCTGTTCAGAACATCACCATTTAAGACACTGATCTGAGTTTCTTCCTTGTTCTTTTCTTCTACAGGATAAGACAGCTGGACTGAGCCTAACAGGATTTGTTCTGGTTTCTCCTTCTTTTGTGGCCTCCAGACCTCATGCCTTCTCTTTCTGGTCATGTGTCTTTCTCTTCTGAGCAAAATGTAAACAGGTCATGAGCAGCGACAGCCTTCTTCCCATATACACCGTGTGTCTTCCCCAGTCATCTCTCATGTTCCAACAGGGCTGGCAAACCTCCATCCCTGATAGAACCGTAGTTTTCACTGAGCTACAGCAACTACAAGAAGTTTTCATGCTTCTTTCTTGAAATTAAGCATTTTTCATGCATGGTTGTGCAACTTCTTTCAGAGTGGGTGACTGATTAGTGTACTAAAAATGAGTAAAGTTTATGGAGAAAATAAAATCTCAGAACATTATGGAGTCGTGTGTGCTGTGGTAAGTCCATTGCCTCTGGTGGCATTGGTTGCTGTGTGGAGCCAAGCGAGGTCTGGGCTGTGCACAGGTATCGCTCTGTCAACTCTGGGCTCTCACACAGTCCCTTCCCACCTATGTCCTCTTGCTACTTCCTCATCCTCGTTCTTTAATAAACCTGTTCACCAGGACATGTGATCAAAAGATCTCAGGCATTTGTAGGGTTTGTCCAGTGTCTGTGCTGTTCTTTCATGTTGGCCTTCAGCCTGTTCAGGCTTGAGTCTGATATTCCATTCAGGGATTTTTGATTCATGTTTCAATGAGAATTATACTTGTTTTCTGTTTTTACTCTTTTTGGTGGGGCCCGCCACCCAGCTCCCAAATAAATTCACATGGCTGCTTATTCTTAATTACAAATGCCCGGCCTTAGCTTGGCTTAGTTTCTTGCCAGGTTTCCTTAACTTATCCTGTCTACCTTTCGCATCCGGGCTTTTCCGGTTCTCTTATTTCTGTAAATCTTACTCTTGCTCTGTGGCTTGCTGTGTAGCTGGGTGGCTGGCCCCTGGAGTCCTCCTCCTTCTCTGGCTGCTAGCTCTCTCCTCCCAGATTTCTCCTCCTATATGTTCTCCCTGCCTGCCAGCCCTGCCTATCCTTTCTCCTGCCTTGCTGTTGGCCAGTTCTTTATTAGACCATCAGGTGTTTTACACAGGCACGGAGTTAAACAAATGCAACATAAACAAAAGTAACACACCTTAAAACGGTCTCCTGCAGTTTTCAGCTCTGTGAGTCATTGTCTCCTTTCGTCAACTGTCACTGACACCATTCTGTCATTCTGTCATTGTCCCGCAGTAGATCTCTGTGGTATTCTGTCAAAGTTGTTAGGGTCAAAGCCCAGTTTCTGACAGTCATGGGCGTTATAACATGTATGTAATACCAACACAGAGGAGGTCTGTTAATAGGATGTTTGCAAGTTCAAGATCAACTTTGAATACATACTGAGACCCTATTCCAAAGTAAGTTATTAAAAAAAAATGGATTAATTAAAAACTAAATAGGGTAAGTGATGGACATAGCTGTGCTGTGCTAATGCCGAGCCAAAGAAACCTCAGATAGTATCTGAATTTCAGACAGAAAGAAGGCCAGTGTAGGGAAAGTTACGTGGAATACACAAATCGGGTGACGAATGATGATGAATGACTTAAATCTCTGGAGGATTTCACAGTAGTGCTTGAAGCCTACGCATGGGATTTCAGAGCATACATTCATCTTTAGTGAAACTGCAAACCCTTCAAAATGAAGTAAAGTTATCCAGTGCTAAATCCCATCTACAGAAAGGGCACAGCAGACAGAAATTAAGGAGTGGTGTAGCTGAAGTCAATCGTATCATCAGAAAAACTAACATCATTGACACCTGTAACCCTTTATGCAATGCCTGAGATACAGTATGTGTTGTGCACATAGCAGCTTCTCCTAGGACCAGAGTCTCCTAAAGTGGGGACCTGGGCAGTGGAGTCAGGTTTCTGAAGATGTGATGGGGTCCTTTCTGTGGTGATGTTTTGTTTGTGCTCTAACAAATAAAGCTTGCCTTAAGATCAGAGGGTGGAGCTAGTTAGCCCTTAGTTAACCTAGAGGTCTGGAGGTCTGTACAGATAGGAGATAGAAAGTGATAGGGCTGGGTGGAGAAAGGGATATAAGCCGGACAGAGACAGGAGCTCTGTCCTTTTTGGTCTGAGGAGTTGGGGAGCTAAGATGTGACTTGGCTGCTCCTTTACTTCTCTGATCTTTCAGCATTTATGCCAATACCTGACTCCAGGTTTTTATTATTGAGACCAATTAGAATTCACACTACACCTTTCTGCATGTGTGTCTGTGGAACAGATACCTGCCTCAGGCAAGGGGCACGTTTCTTAGTAAACCCTAGAGTTCTTCAACAACAGGGCATGGCAGCAATCCTCTACCCAAGAGCGGACATGTGAGCTCAGCTGCTCCGTGTCCCCTGGCCTCAGTAGGGGTGCCCTGGTCCTCTCTTTCTCTACTCGAGAGCAGAGCCTGCTTAGCCCCCTTCTCCATCCTGCTTCTCCTTTTAAGTTGAAAGACCCCCCGCTCCATTATGAGGCCATGGGGCGTTGGGCCAATGAAATGCCCCCCCCCCCAATAACTTAGCCTAAGAAACGCCATTCTGAAGGAATCAGAAAAACAGGAGTTCACAGCCGTAGCCAGCCACCCGGCCTTGAGAGAGATAACTATGGCCAGCCATCCAGCCTTGGGAGAGAGATAACTGTGGTCGGCGGTCTTGGGAGAAAGACAGTTGAGTCAAATCAGGATATTTTATGGCTGGCCCCCTGGCCTTGAGGAATAAGCGGCTGGGCTGGAAAAACACCCACTATACCCTGGGCACGGCCAAGTCAGCCACACACATACGACCCAAGTTCACCCTGGCCTTCTTTGAAACAACCAATAGGGACCCTGTAACTATGCTTCTCGCTTCTGTAACCGCGCCTCTGCCCCTGGGATCCCATAAAAAGTCCCCCTTGCCCTAGGAAAGCGCGCAAGTCCTCCAAGAGACTTCGCCCCAGGTACCTGGTCTAAATAAACCCTCTTGCTTTTGCATCTGATCTGTGGTTTCGGTGTGTTCCTTGGGTTTGGGGTCTCTCCTGAAGGAAGATCTCCCCTGGGGGTTCTTTCAAAGTATCCATGGTAACCTAACTTTCTGGTTCACACTATAGGACCAGGGTCCAGATTGAACAGGATCAGATCAGGGGCTCACTTCTCAGTGCCCCCAGAGTCACATGCCATGTGGTATTTCCATAACAAGGTATTCAGGCTTAGTCTTTGGGATGCTGCTTAGACCTCAGGCCCTCAGGCAAGAAAGTGATTTGCAGGATGAGTCTCAGGTTCAGAGAATGGACAGACTGATCCTGAGCATGGCAGCAGTAAAGGAGGGTCTATTAGGGATTTGGCCAGACTTTCCCCATGTGCCTGAGGTCCTAGCTCTGATAGTAGAACCAGAGAGAGGTCTTTGAGGGACCACTGGCTTAATGAAAATCACAAGGATCAGAATTCACAAACCCAGCAGGTCCCCTCTAATAAGAACAACTGCCCTTGGATCCACAAGTCCAACTTCTGACCCCAGGTTGGAGTTATTTGTTATTATCTCTGATGAAGTTAGGGTCTCAAAACTCAGTTCCCAACACAGTCAGTATGGATTGATATAAGCCACATAAACTTATTTACCTTGGAGATACACAGGAATTCTAAGTGTATATAGACACCTTGAGAGCGAAATGATCTAGGACTGTTGACTTATTGGTCCCTGGGCTGTGACTGAGAAGGAAGTTGTGACCCAGGCTAGGAGGACATGGATCAGGGTAAAATAACTTGTCTCCGGACACTGCTTCCAGGATTCCAGGCCCAAGAGCTGGGTCAGAGTGAGGAGGCAGGCTTTAGTTTATTTTAGTTTTGTCAATTTGACAAGCTAGCTTTATACTGGAAGAGGAACTTTAATGGAGAAAATGCCTCTATCAGAATGCCTCTAGGCTAGGTTGTAAGGCATTTTCTTCATCAATGATTGAAGTTGGAGGGTCCAACTCACTGTGAGTGCAGCCACTGCCAGCAAGCAGCATTCCTCCATGGATATTGCTTCAGTTCCTGCTTCAGGTTCTTGCTGTAACTTCCTCAGTGATGGCATGTGACCTGGGATTCATCAGATGAAGTAAACCCTTTTTTTCCTCAAGTTGATTTTCTTCATAGAGATTTGTTACAGCAATTGAAAAGCAGACTAACACAAACCACCACTGGGCATGTATGACAACTTTACAGCTATCCAAACTTGTTTTTGACAGAGGGCATTGGTTTATGGGTTAGTTTTAGTTTTTACTTATATGTATGTTTGTGTGTGTATAGTACATGACAATCAATTGGAGGTGCATGTACTATAATCTAGGAGAGCACATCAAATCACATGGAGCTGGAGTTCCAGGAGGTTGTGAGTAGCATTTTGTTAATGTTTGGAAATGAACTCATGTCAACTGTAAAAGCAGTTAGCATTTTTAAAAGCTAAGCCACCCTTTCAAACCCAGGGTAGTTACATTACTCTTTGCTGGATTCCAGGGCCTAGAACAAGGCCAGGCACTTGGTAGATTCTCCAACATTACCTGGGGTATATCTGAGAAGCAGACCTCCTAAAAGAGGAGCCTAGAGAAGGAAAGGCAGGTTTCTTGTTCATGTGGTGGAGATGTTCTCTCCCATGTATGTGAGACATTCTATCCAGCTCAGGCCTGGATACCTTCCTACAGCGAGTCCTAGAGCCCCCTCTACACCTGCACACAGCACCAAGCCCCTGAACAAGTGCTGAAACCTGAGCCACGTCTGACCTCACAGCCCTTGGAGTCAGCAGGGAGGGACAACTTAGGTAGAGGAAGTCTCCCTCCTCCTGCACGTATGATGCTTCCCATTTCTCCCCTAACCTTGCAACAGCTATGCAGCCATGGAAGCTGCCCCAGGCCACAGACAAAAACTATGGCATCAATGTAAGATCATAACTAAGCAATGATGTCTGTATGGACACAGATGTGATAAGAGGAGGCCACATCTGCATGGGACCCCAAAAATGATAAGGGTAAGTACACTTTGGTCCTTAATCTTAGAGATATTAAATGGTATGATGTTGTTTAGAAGGTTCCCCATGGGTGTACGGAGTATTGTGCTGCATGTCTGGGTCTTGAGGGTCTGTGGAGGGTCAGCCTGGTGTCATAGGGAGACACTGGGGGGATTTTTTTTTTTTTTGGTTTTTCGAGACAGGGTTTCTCTGTGTAGCTTTGTGCCTTTCCTGGATCTCGGTCTGTAGACCAGGCTGGCCTCGAACTCACAAAGATCCGCCTGTCTCTGCCTTCCGAGTGCTGGGATTAAAGGTGTGGGCCACCACCGCCCCCGCCTGGGGGGATTTTTGCATTGGAAATCATTAGCGATGTCAGTAGTGCATTATCTTTCTCAGCTTCTGCTGCTTCTACTCTTGGCCTTCCTTGGACATGGTGTGCATGGCCACTGACAGAGCAGCCAACTCCCATCCTAAATTCCTTCACCTTCCCTTAGATCCCTGTGATCTCTGATCACCAGGAAGCCAGGCTTAGTGCAGGGTAAGGTGGCTTCAGCTGGCCAATAAAAAACTGTGACACAACAGTGAGGCAATGAAACGCCATCATCAGGGCCAGGGATGGACACTTCACTGAGGTAGGTGGCCTTTATTTTACTTTCCCTCATTGATTCTGTCAGCTACATCAGCACATGGGCCAGGACTCAGAAGGATGTTGTGAACAGGACCAGTACAGAGATCACAGTAAGCAACTGGTCCCCAGACACTGCTCCCAGGATACCAGGCCATAGAGCTGGGTCTGAGTGGGGAAGCAGGGCTCTAGAGATTCCTCCCACTGTAGTTAATCTTTCCATGACTCAGTCCACTGGGTCTCTGTCACTCCCACTGGAAATTCTTAGAGAAGCATCCTAGTTATAAAGTGGCTAAGGACCAGTCTGGACTCCCTCCAGCTACAGTTTCTCTGTCCTTTCCTCTGAGGCTGGCCTCCTGCAGCCCTGGTTCATATTCAGAGTGGTGGGCTACTTGTAAGACTAGGTGATGGTGGGAAACAATAGAGATCTTGGACTTGCTCTGCTGCTACAGCCTGGGTAGGAATGGTGACTGTCACCAGGCAGATAACAATCCAGCAACTCAGCAGGGGTCTCTGTAAAATGGCTTGTGGCTACTGCTCTGGTTGAGTATTGTGTGGCTGGAGTTTTTCTGCCTTGCCCACAGTCAGGACAAATCTCTGTCACCCACCAGTCCCACAGCCGCTCAGACCCAACCAAGTAAACACAGAGACTTATATTGCTTACAAACTGTATGGCCGTGGCAGGCTTCTTGCTAACTGTTCTTATATCTTAAATTAATCCATTTCCATAAATCTATACCTTGCCACGTGGCTGGTGGCTTACCGGCGTCTTCACATGCTGCTGGTCATGGCAGCGGCTGGCAGTGTCTCTCTGCCTCAGCCTTCTGCTTCCCAGAATTCTCCTCTCTCCTTGACCCACCTACTTCCTGCCTGGCCACTGGCCAATCAGTGTTTTATTTATCGACCAATCAGAGCAATTTGACATACAGACCACTCCACAGCAGTATTGACTGGAAAACCTGTTCTATTATCTCTCCTATGCTGTGGGTGCTTGAAAGTTTTTAAAAATCTTTCGCTTGCCTCCCCTTATGCCCCTTTAATTCATTCATTTTCTTCGTTTTTTATTTTGTTTGCTTGTTTGTACTTAAAGACACGATTTCTCTGTGTAGCCCTGGCTGTCCTGGAACTTGCTCTGTAAGCTGGGCTGGCTTAGAACTTAGAGGTCTGCCTGCCTCTGCCTCCTGAGTGCTGGGATTAAAGGTGTGCACCACCACTGCCTGGCTATATTTTATTTGTGTATGACACTTTTTCTGCATGTATTTCTGTGCGCCATGTTCATGCTTAGTGGCTGTGGAGGACAGAAAATGTGTTTGGATACCCTGTGATTGGAGTGAGATGGTTGGGTGCTGGGAATTAAACCCAGGTTTCCTGGAAGAGTGGCCAGTGCTTTTAATACCTAGGTCATATATACAGCCCCCTTTAAATGTTTGTTCCTGTTAGAACTATGGAGATATCCTGGAACTGACTTGAACAGGGCTTTGGTAACTCCTTCTAACAGGGTGGGGGTCCTCTATAAATACCCCAGTCCTACTTTAGGAACTCAGGATGTTTTCCTTGTCCTAGTTTATAAAATTTCCCTCTTTAAGCTGCTGATATTTTCAGAGATGTCTGGTCCTCACTCACTACTTCAGACAGCTGTTCTGAACTTGGAAAGTGTTCCCTGTAGATTCTAGAGGACTGTTGATGTATGTCCTGCTGTCCTCCATCCTGAGGAAGTGGGCATCCCAGACTCATCTGTTTTTGTTTCCTGTATCTACAGGGAATGAGACCTGTCATCAATACTGAGTATGAGTCTGGTGTGATTCTCCCCAGGTGTCCCCTGTTTCTGACAACAGAGGTGTTTTTTTTATTGTCCTACAAGGCCCGTGGACCCTTGACCAAGGAATCTCCATGCTATTGTCAAGAGATATTTTAGGGTCAAAGCCTGTCTTCTGGCAGCTGTAATAAGCTTGGATTGGATAATACAATAAGGTAACTAATAACACAGTTACAGTGAAAATTAGAGAAAGGACATTTATTAAATGTGACCACTGTGGGAAGAGGAGCAAACAGGTCCAGTGACTCACTCTGAGTCCCCAGTTTCATCTTTAGGATCCTGACACGAGGTTCAGGTTTAAATATGGGGAAAGAGGAAGTTCCCCCCATTTTTCACTTTAATTTTTCTATTTCACTTTGCTAATAAACTAGAGCTTTCTGGTCATCACTCACCTCTTCTCATTTACCCAACTTTCCCCAGTTTATTCCCTGGAGATTCTCTCTGCCTGTGCCTGTGTGTCCTCCTCCATCATGGGTTTCTTATCCTTGAACTCTGCATTTTCCCACTCCTAACTTCTAAGTGCTGGCATTACAGGTGTGTTCCATGACACACAAATATTCAGAGAAGGTTTAAAGTATGTTGTCTATAAGCGTTGTCAGAAATTTAGCAAGTGACATATAGACATAGGAAGTGTATAATTACTGTGTGCATTTTTTTTGTGGTTATTGTTGTATTGAGACAAGGTCTCATGTAGCTTAGCATGGTATGGATCTCCTGGTGTTGTTTATGCCTCTCCTTCTGAAGTGATGCGATTACAGGATGTAACTACCATGTCTTGTTCTAGTGTAAGAATTTTGTTAATAAATTCCTAGAGAATTTTTTTTTTAGTGAAAAAAATGGGATAAACTGTGTTATAAGCATTGAGAGCCTAAATTTCATGGTGTCCATTCCCAGTTAAAAGAATCAATGACAAAAAATTATAATTGCTTATACTAGGGATTACATGGACAGAGGTTCATATTCACCTCCCAGAATTTGGGCTCATCAGTATCTCTGGACTCCGGTCCACAGGGACTGAATTGCTAGGAAATTGCCGGGAAACTGTACACAAAGAAACTCACTAAAACAAGTACATGCTAATAATAGAGACCATGCAGCCACTGCCGTGTACAGCTGGTGGTTCTTTTCTTCTTTCTGTCCACGTTGCAGTCCTTTGGAACATACTTAATGAAAATATTCTCTTCCTCCTCTAATAAACAATGTAATCAATCCACAGCCCACCAATACCCTCCCTTGTCAGCCACAATGGTGATTAAAATCCAAGCCAACAAGAGAACATTGGTAATTTTAGACACTTAAATATCTCACCATAAATTTAACAACTTCTTATGCTTGTGATATTTAGAGACATATGTGGTGATATTGACAATTGACTTTTTGATAGTTTTTACTTAAATGCGTCAATACTGAAGGATCTAAGGACTTGATCAAACCAAGCTCTCCTTTAAAATTAACATTCATAAACACAGCACTCACTCAATGTACAAGGCTCTGCTATGGACATGGGTGCAGCAGACGATGGAGAATTTAATCATATTTCAAGTCCACAGTGTAAACAACCGTGAAGAAATACTGCTGTGTCAATTTAGAGACATATAAAATGTAAACATCTACAAGGAGCACAGTGTGGGGACCCCGCCATTTATTCTCAAGTTTTAATGACTTAGATGCATGGGTGTTTTGCCTGTGTGTAAGTCTATGTATCATGAGCACTCCAGAAGAAGGAATGGGATCCCCAGGGACTGGAGTCACAGAGAGTGGTGACCAGCCATGTGGATCCTAGGAATCCAACACAGGTTGCCTGGAAGAACAGCCAGTGCTCTTAGCTGCTAAACTAGCTCTCAAGTTCATTTCCTATGACCTTAATCTCAGCATCCAGGAGAGAGAGGCAGGGGATGTCTTTGAGTTCCAGATGAGTCTGACCTACACTCCAAGTTCCAACAAGGGAGATTGATACGGGAAGATCCCATCTTCAAGAAAAGTCCTATCATCTGAAGATGTTAATGAAAACATTCCTCCTGCAGCAGTGAGATGCTCAGCAGTGAACAGCACCTGCTGTTCTTGCAAAGGACCAGAGTTGGATTCCCAGCACAGACCTTAGCCAACTCACAACCTCCTGTAGATGCAGCTCCAGTGCTTATGGTGACCTCTTCTGACCTCCACAGTCAACTGTACAGGAGTATACAGTACATACATACACACACAGAGAGACAAAAATCATGAAGTATATACAACCTACATATTTCTGTTGAGCTGCATTTTCATAAATTTCAAATAAATAATTGTTAAAAAGATACAAAATCCACTCATTTTTTAGTGGGAAAGAGAAAAGTATTTGTCAGAATGTAGACATCCATAAAAGATCTATTCCTTCCACCATAATTATGCTTTGAAAAACACTTAATCCACTTTTAAAATATTCTTCTTTCATGCAATTAGTTATTAATATCTTTAATGAAGCAAATGTCTCAAAACTCTTGGTTCACAATATGAATTGATAAAAATCCACATAAGCAGAATTATGTTGAGGTCCTTCCGCTTTCTAAGTATGTATAGAGATCCTGATGTCAGAATGATTGGGAATTACTGACTTATTCTCTCTGGAGCTAGACTTGGAAAGATGTGAACAGGACCAGTAGGGTAAGCCATTGTCTCTAGACACTGCTCCTGGGATACAGGACCCCAGAGTTGTTCTGAGGTGGGAAAGTGGAACTCTACAGATGCAGCTTCCAGGAGTTCATCTTCCCACCACCCATCCACCAGTCTGTCACTCCCACAGAGAATGCTAGGAAAGTCTCCCTGAAGTCAGGCTTACAAATGAAAAGAGTCGTGACCAGGTCAGTCTCTACTCATCCCTTGAGGGCCCCTGTCAATGACCACGTCAGAGGATCTGCAGACAGAAATGGAGCTTAGGGAACACAGCCCAGAGGATAACAAAGCTACTCTGAGCGCGTCCTGGAGAGGCAAGGCCCCAGAGGATGTTTCCAGAACGCCCCTCGCTTCTGGTGTGCTTCCTCCTGCTTGTGCTGTCCTGTGCCTGCTGTGTTTGGCATGGTGGGATTGCTATATGACGGGATCCCACTGTATTCAATAAAGTGTGATTGTTTCTTGGGAAAAATCCTACTCCTCACTGGGAAATTTACATACAGATCATAATGAGGATGATTTTTATAAGATCAGTGATTAGTTAGATCTATGATTTAATTAGACTTTCTGATTTAGCCTAAAAGAAACAGATGGTTAGGAAAATTAGTAAAGATGTTTAGGGACATGATTTAGGTTATTCTACCAATTGCTCCAATAAGAGATGCAGAAAGGGCAAATACAGGCCCAAAGTCACCTTCTGCTTTGTTAGATGTGAGATTTGCAGAGGATGGAAAATAAGAACAAGGAAGTTTCATGCATTACAGACCCATGAATTCTGCCTGTGGAAAAACAGGCTGATGATCAAAAACAATAATTATGTCACTACACCTAAGGTTAGGCCTGAGTTCCTTGGTCATGTAACTTAGAGTTAGTCACAGGCCCCAGTGTGCACCTTGAAAAGACAAAGTTGTGAAAGGAAATTATTGTGTGTAAAGGAAAATAGATGGTGAACTGACCACTCATTTAAAGTTTCTCTAGAGTAAAGAATGGAAATCTGTTCCACTGAAATTGCAAACAGCTACCTGCCAGTACAAAAGGAACTGGTTGAATTACACTTAGCTTGCTTAAAACTTTGTCAACCGGTAATAAAAGAATCATTGCTTTGGGGTGAAGATGTTATGGTGGGAAAATGAATACAAAGAAAAATGTTTAACTGCTTGTGGGATTCTAAGGAAAGCATGTAACTTGTGATCTTAATGTGATTTCTTCTTACATAAAGCTTTTAACTTGTTTTTGGAAAGTATGTAACTAATGGTTGTGAGGTGATCTTTTTTGTGTTGAAATCTGTATTGGGAGGTATAAAGGGATAAGAAAAAATAAGAAATAGAATCGGAAGGGAAGGAATAATGGGAAAAATCAGGGGAAAGGTAGAAAAATAAAAGTGAAATAACTGGGAAGAAAAAGAAAAACAGCAGATAAAAGAAGAAAACACAGAAGACAGGGAGAAGGAAGAACAACCAACAGAGAAGAAAATAAAGTGAAGAATTCGTCTTTGGTAAAGACTAATAAAGTTCAGATAAAGTTCCTCTGCTTGTGTCTGCCTCTGTTCCAATAGCTGGTCCAGTCCACACCTCCTCAGTTTCTCTGACCTGTTGAGAGCCCGCTGGGGGCTGGGCCCCTAGTCAGCAGCCACTAGGCTCCATGCCCTCCTCTGGCCATGGGAGACAGGGAACCAGACTAAAGCCTGTGAGTGCCGAGTGTGGACGGGAATGGTCTGAGAAGCTGCAGCTCCTAACAAGGCTGCAGCCAAACCCTCCTGGCTTTTCCTGCTGGACTGCCCTGTTCAGTCCCCTTCTCCACTCCTTTGTGCAAGTCCTGAGCCCTATTCATCTCCAGGCTAGTGGACCTCAGGGGTCCCAGGAGAAGGGCTGGGATCTCACTGTCTGAATGGTTTCCAGTTCATACTCCTTGAAGTTTTACACATCCTGTGTCCACCCTGGGCCTCTGAGAACCTTGTTTTATTGCCTTAGGGTATATAGATCATGAACAGTTGGTGGGCCTCAATTCATTGGAGTTCAATAAAGAACAGGTGGATGAAGGAGAGGCCAGGGTATAGAAGCAGGAGGCATAAAAAATACAAGGCTATAGAGAGTTTCAGAAGGAGCACGTGGAACCTGTTTCTAGTACCAGAGTAAAGACTAGGAGTGAGACTTGGTACAGAAGTCTCCACATCAAAAACTGGCTGGAGTCACTTGGGTTTCAGTCTGAGATTCGGCCCTAGGCTGTGGACTGGCAGAGACGTTAGACCTGGGAGGGCTACGGGTCATGATTTGCTTTCCATTTCAGTTCATGTCCAAATCCCATGGGTGGGAAGGACAGGGCTATGTCTGTGACAGTGATTGCTTTAGCTGTCATTGGAATTCTGTCTAGACAATGTATGATGCCCTGCTGGCTGCTCCGATGGTATGTGTCATAGTGGAGCCCGTAGGCTCGTATGTTTGAATGGTTGGAGCCCTGGTAGCAGAACAGTTTGAGAAGGCTTGGGAGGTGTATGGCCTTGTTGGGGGAGGTGTGTCACTGGGAGTGGGCTTAGGAGTTTCAAAAGCCCAACCAAGGCCTACCCTACTCCTGCAACTTGCAGATCACCTGGGAGCTCTCAGCTACCTCTCCAGCACCATGTCTGACTGCCTGCTTCTTTCCTCCTCCCCCGAGCTGAAGGTAAGGAAGGAAACTCTCCCATCTGCTCTGAGACTGGAGCTCCTGTCCCCTGAGGCTTCCTCCTCAGCAGGGAGCAGCTGGAATATTTACTATGTGTCCATGAAACGGGGAAGAGTGCTCCTGGGTACCCTGACTCAGTATGAGGGAGGGACCCTCCAGAGGGTCACACTTCTCTCAGGACAGTTCAGTATGTCAATGAAGCAGCAGATCCCTTCCATTTGCATTGTGAACCATAGCCTCTCTCGGGTCTGTTCACTGTCCACACACAATGGCATTGAAGGTCTGACTCCAGGGTTGCTGAGTATCTTTATTCACCTGTACCAGCACCACCACACCCCTACCTCCCCAACCCAGACAGAACCAGAAGTCTATTTGCTTAGAAGGAGATCCAGAGTCTCCTGCGCTGTGCTGGCTCATACTGATCCTGAAATTTCCCAAGAAATGGATTATCCAGATACTGACTTTGGGCTGCTGTGTGGTGTCTGCACCATTTCTCCAGCATGGTTCTCCCATCATTACTAGGGATGGTCCCATCAGCCCTGCTGGATCCTCAGGAAAAATGCTAAATGTCTGGATTTCTAATTCGTCTCTCCAGACTAGCACCTCTCTAAACACTTGTGACCCATGAACTCAAATCTGAAGGAAAATCATCCTGAGCAGCCCTAGGCTGCTACCTGCTGAGATCACCCTGAGCTGGCAGAGAGATGGGAAATACCAGACTCAGGATATAGAGTTGATGATACCAGACCTGCAGGAGACAGAACTTTCCAGAAGTAGGCAACTGTGGTGCTGCATTCTGCAGGTTAGCCTAGATATACATGTCATGTGAACCATGAGGGGCTGCATGCGTCTCTCACCCTGAGATGGGTAAAGACTGCCTATGAGCACAAAACCCGCTCACAGAGAAGGTGGGAGCCCCTTGAGAGACCTGGGGCAGGATCAGGACTGAGAGATGGAGGTTAGAGACCTCACTCTTACTTCTGTGTCCTAGTCAGAGGCTCCTCAGCACGCCATCTCCATCACGGCAACTGTTTTTGTCCACATTCTTGGAGCAGTGGTTATGGGAGTTTGGTCTTTTTTTATGACTAAAGAAAGGGAATGAAGATAAGGAATGGTCAGGGTCCTGTTTTTCTTCCCTTGGGATTTCAAGCCTAACCTTAGTATGTGCTCTGTCCATAAGAGGAAATTCACATACAAGTGCTTACTCAGCCTGGGACCTACATGAAATACATAGAAAATAATGTGCAGAGTCATTGCCCTGATGATGGAGGTGATGGACTCCCGACTCCCTGAAGCCTGGGGTTAGAGAGAAAGGAAGGTGCTGCTGAGAACAGACCTGCAGAAGACAGTTGGTCCAGTCCACATTCTCTGTTCCATCTTGTCTCCTTCCCTCCCTTGGATCTGCAGTCACAGTTCTCAAAACAACCTGGGGTAAGGACCAGGGGCTTCCTTGTGACCCTCATGACCCTACTGCCTCCCTGGATTCTTACAGGATGTTTTCTACCCACAGATCAATGTTGGAACAGTTATGATCAGGCTGCAGGTAAGTATGGTAGGGGCTGCTTCCAGGGACCCTTATGGTTTCATTGACTGGAGCCCTGGAAGAACTCATCCACCTCATATCTCTTCAATATCCTGTGGGCTTTGACTAGGACCTCTTAGGATTTTATTCGGTAGGAAGAGTACCTAGAATACATGGGCTTCTCTCACAGCTTTAAAGAGGTGAGTCGGTGGGATTGTGGAATAGGCAGAGGACAGAGACCCTATCCTGACTCTCAGTTATTGGGACAGTTTGAATGTGTGATGGGATGATCTAAGTGTCACTACTCACAGAGACTGGTCTGAATTTTTTTCCCTAATTATTGTCTACTGCAGGTGGAGACAGCTGCCTTGTGTGGAACTGAGCCATAGAGATTCTGGATTCCCCATTTTCTACTGTGAGTTCGGGAACTCCAGACTTCTCATTCTGCAGCCCACATTGGCTGTGTCCAAGTGCCAGTCTCTTAAACACCTAATGCAAAAACGTGAGACCCACAGCCCAACCATGTGTCTCTTCCCCAGTGTGCTCTCCAGCAGAGGCAAAACTGGGACCTTTCCATCCCTGACTGCACTTTACTGTCATTGAGGTAACACTCACACTTTCTGCTTGACATGAAGGGTATTGTGTATGTGGCTTTGCATTTATTGACATGCTACTATAGAAAAATAGTTAAAAATTAATAGATAAAACACAGGCAGAGAATGTGATAGAATTGTTATTTTCTGAGTTAAGACTATTGCCTTTGGTCAAAGACAAGAGATCTGTGTCATCAAGTACGGTCAGGGATGTGCTCATCTATGGCTTAGGCCACCCTGGCCTTTCCATGTCTCTCTCAGCTATGTCTTCTTCACGAATCCTTAGTCCCTGTCTTTCCAGTAAATCTGTTCTGCCAGGACCTGTGATCAGAAGGACTCAGATGTGTTCAGAGTCTCATGCAGTGTCAGGGAACTTGGCTTCACAGTCAGATTTCAGATCGAGGTTGGTGTCAGAACCATCAGTTATTATTCCACATTTGTACAGGGAGTTGTGCCTTTCCTAGAACTGCAGGGTCCCCAGTCTTTGACAACAGCAAGAGGTGTTTCTGTCATCGTCCTACAAGACTCACAGAGACCTTCAGTTCAGGAGACTTTGTGTCACCAGAGTTGTGAAGGTCCAAGCCTGGTATCTGATAGCCCTGGACCCTAGACTTGGCCATCTCTCTACAGTAAGCCAAGGAAGGAGATAAGCAGATTGGAAAATAGAAAAAGGACACTTATTGAATGTGGCCATGTTGGGAACAGGGACAAGGAGGTCCAGTGACCACCCCCCCCCCAATGGTCATTTTAGGATCCTGGCAGGAGACTTATGGTCAAATACAGGGCAGGAGTGACTGCCCATCCCTGAAACACCAGCAGCTTAGGCCTTTCTGTTTCTTCATCATGAGATACTTGGATTAAATCCAATCTCACCAGGCCCATGTTTCAGAGATCAGGCAGCCACAGAGGCAGGCCCTGTAGTCCTTCCTTCAAACACCTTCCTTCTCCAGAGAACTCTGTTTACAGCTCAGTGTCAGGGCTCTGTTCACTGCCCACTCTCAGCAGATCCTCCCTTGAGGCATTAGAACTGAGTTTGGGCCCAAGCAGCCAAGTCAAAGGAAGGTCCCAGGCCCTTGTACTCCAGCACTGGGGAGGTGGAGACAAGAATCCTGGAGCTTGTCTGCCAGCGGCTCTAAACATCTGTGAGTTCCAGGCTGGTGAGAAACTTTGTGCCGAAGTATGTGACCAGCATCCTTAGGGAGGATAGCCCATGTTGACCTCTGGCATCTCCTTGTACCCAAACAGGGACACACTCACAATTGCACATGTCCATGCATGCACGCACGTGTGCACTTACAGGACACAGTGACACAGACACAGAGAGACAGACAGAGACAGAGTCAGTGACAGACAGACAGACAGAGGAGAAATTGTAGTGGGTGGAGAGATAGCTCAGTGGTTAGGAACCCATGGTACTGTTTCAGAGGTCCCAGCGGGTGTTCATGCTTTTGTGACTTTGAGGACAATACAGCAGTCATGGCGGCACACAGTTATACATGCATAAAAAAAACCCACTCATATGCATAAATAAAAAACAAATGCAGGTGTTAAAAAAGAAATTGTAAACTGTGAAGAAGGCCTGCTTATTTTATTATAGTATACTCATTTCTCCTTTAAGTACCTGATTATAGCCAGTGAATGATCAGTATTATAAGTGACTCTAGTATGTCAGTGAAGTCCCAGTCGCTAATATTTTAATATAAAATGTTACTGATGACTTTCTCAGTACTGCAAAGTACTTTTCTCTCTGGACCTTGAATTCTCCCTCAGGTGTCTAGTTAGAGCCAAGACAGCCACCAGGAGCAGGAAGAGAGAGGCCCAGGGATTTCATCCCAAATGATGGCTCTGTGTTAAAGTTATAAAGCTGATCAGGGTGAAGCTGATTGCTTCTCTACAAATTCCCAGTAGGAATGACAGGGGACTGGTGGGTTCAACAGTGGAAAGATTAACTCCTGAGAAAGGAATCTCTGGAGTCCTGCTCCCCACCTCAGACCCAGCTCTGGCCCGGAATCCCTAGGAAGTGTCTGGGGACAAGATGCTTTGGCCTGATGCCTGTCCTCCTGGTCCTGCACACAGCATCCTTTGAGAGGCCAAGGACTCAGCAGTTCTCAAATGCTCTGATGTCAGGATCTCTACACACCAGGAACTGTAGAGTTCAACAGTAAGGGTGCTTGTGTGCATTTCGATCCTTATGCATCATGGTGGGAAATGGAGTTGAGAGAGTTGCCTCGATGACAGATACAGTGATTGTAAACGGAACATTTCAAGAGAGGAAAAGCTATTTTCCAAAATACTAGGATTGGCTGAGATGAACAGATCTTTCTGGATGTTTACATTTCTGCAAGTCCTTTTTCTCATCCTTCCTTTTGGATCTTCTTTTAATCTTTATGCTGTATTTGAGAGACAGAAATGTACAGCTTCAGGGAAATTATTTTGTTGTTATATATTTCAGTCTCTCTTGTGTTTGTATCCAGGAGTACAGTTGTCTGGTGAAGTCAGAAGAGGGCACCAGAAACCATGGACTTGGAGTTGAGCATCTTGTGGGTTGGGAAGCCTGGTTGGTAAGAACACACTTTGTCCTCTGCAGGAGCAGCAAGTGCTCTTCACTGCTGAGCCCTCTTTCAGCTCAAGGAGGATTTCTTTTATGAACATCTTCAGATAATTGTCAATTACTTTTTTGGACAGGGTCTCACTATGTATTCCTGGCTGGCCTGGAACCTGCTGTGTAAACCAGGCTGGCTTTGTACCTACAAAGATACATCCACCATTTCCTCCAAAGGGCTGGGATTAAGGACGTGAGCTACCACACTGGGTCCCTGTATATTTTACCTATGATACGTCACTAAGCTGACACATGTGGTACTTGTTCAAGGTTGCTTATCCTGTGAACATGAATTGTCATTGATCTACACAGTACTCAGTCCGTGTCCACAGGAGAGTCTTGTGTGTGAGTGGTTTTCATGTTAATAGATATTATGTTATAAGCAGGGCACGGTTTGTCCAAGTCCAGAGATCTGTCAGTGTTTACACATTTCAATAAATACTACCAGATCTCAATTGTTACTGCTATCACAAATTTTATCAGCAAATTTGAAAACATTAGGAAGTAGTTAAGTTTATGGCAAGGAATTCAATTGCTCTAAAATCCTAGTGTTCTCCTGAGAGCTTAGATTTTGTCATTGCTGAAGTCAACTGGAGAAAGGATTGGCAGACAATGACTTGATCTCATTTTATGCTGCAGTATGAAGAGGAGAGATTTCTTAAGTGTACTATGAGGGCGTGCAGGATTTTGAGAAGCAAAGAAAGCCAAATATGGCCTCTAACCACAAGGTATAAGACATAATTCTTTGCCAGGTTGCAAAGAATCTTCCCCAAGAACAGGCTGTGTGTTCACATACACACTACTCACCCCATCTCAGCCCTTCATGGTATGTGGATCTCTGCTGCTGTCCATATGGCACCACTACAGCTGTTCACTTCTGGACAATTCCATCCTCTGCAGGCCTGGTGCCCACCACCTCTATGTCCTGGGTCTGGTTGTTCTCTTCTCTCTGCCAGATCAGGGTGATCTCAGCATGGTAGAAGCTCAGGGCCCAGTCTGGGATCCCTCACCATTCTGGCTCTGTTGTGGACTCAGAGTATGAACTAGAGGTTCTTTATCAAAATTCACTTAGATGCACAGTGTAACTGTGTGGTCGTAGTACGGGTGTGTGGGTTCACGAGGTTCCATGGAATGAAGACTCAGAAGCATCTTAAGAATGAATCTAGCCTTTCATGGCTGCAGGGGATTTCAGCCTGGAAGGACTGAAGCACTATCCCTTTGCCTAGGGCAGTTTTATTTCTCTCCAATACAGTTTAGCCAGTTAATTTCCATGTGATCAAAACAACCTGAAAAGGGCTCCCAGCAATACAATGCCAAGTGCAAATTCCTCGATTTCCCAGGTACCACAGTTTTCCGGGTTTCCTGAATTAAGTTTTGCATAGGCCTTTGTATCCTGGGGAAACTCAGAGACAAGATTCACACAGAGGACAGCAAGAGAAACAAAAGGTGTCTGCTAAACAAAAGATGGGTTTGGGCTCTGTGCTGCTCTCTGGAGCCAGGCCAGGTGCAGCCCAGCGGGAGCCGCCACAGCACAGGGATTTCCTTGTCTCCTGCTCCAATACTTTGTCCCTTCTTCCCTCTTCATTCATTGGGCCTAAAAATGTTATAGGCCCATTGAATAAAAGTTCAGTGTTGGACATGTCGGTTAGGGAAATGGGGTTCATCATTTCTTTCCTTCCTTTATCCTCTTAGCCGGATTAGCACCTGGGCTCAGACTGAGAAGGTTGTTGTCAGTGGGACAAGTACAAGGATTAGAAAGATCAACTTGTCCCTGATACTGCTCCCAGGATACCAGGCTCAAAGCTGGGTTTGAGGTGGGAAGCAGGGCTCTAGAGATTCCTCTCCCAGGGTATAATCTTTCCATGACTCAACCCACCAGGTCTCTGTCACTTCTACTGGGAATTCTTAGAAAATCCAGTCAACTTACCCTGATCAGTGTTATAAAGGGGATAATGACCACTCTGGACTCAATCTATACAATTCATTAAGGATGAAGACCTCTTTACTCTTGGCTCTCTTCCTGGTGCTGGCAGCCAATCTGGCCTTCACTCAGACACGGGCAACTGAGAGCACGTCCTGAGAGGAACAGCATCTGTCTGAAGCACCCAGGGTTCTGTGCAGCATCACCACAGTCAAGGAGAAGCCTAGCCTTGTTCTACCCCAATCAGACCTGCCTGTCTCCCCTACCAGACAGCCCTTCTGAATCCCAGGAGGAGGGTGCAGTCCTACTGCTCACTCCCCTCAGGCTCACACTGGCTATGCTATTTCTGTACCTTACCTCTTAGGTTGGCCTCCTGCAGCCTTGGTTGCATGGTTGGCACTCAGAACATGGGCAAAAAAAAAAACGGGGAAAGCAAAATTATGAGAATGGCGTTATAATGCCCAGACATCTGTCCAGTGTCTCCCTATGACACCAGGTTGAGCCTCCACAGATCCCCAAGACTGAAGCATCAGTACAATACCATGGACACTTTGTGGGGGGACTGTGGTATTTTGAATACGCATGACCCCCATATGCTCATATATTTGAATATTTGGTCATGAGGGAGTGGCACTACTTGAAAGGATTAGGAGGTGTGGCCTTGTTGGAGGATGTGTGTCACTTGTTGGGATTTCTTTTGATTGCCATTAGTATAGTAGAGCCTTGTACATCCCTTATAGTATGTACTTTTTAATCTGTTCATTTAGTTTTTTAGTTTTAATAACTATCTCTGGAGATAGTTTTTCAGAATGTAGCCCAGGTTGATCTTGAACTGGCAACAGTTCTTTAGACAAAGCATCCACTGTGGTGCGATTGAAGACATGTTGTAACACCTGGGACTGTCAGAAACCAGAGTTTGACTCTAACAACCTCAGTGTGAATGCCACAGAGATCCATGGCAGGACAATGACAGAAACACTCCCCCCTGCCTTCAGTGACCCAGACACACAGAAGAGAATGACCCAAACCCAAACACAGCACTGAGAACAAGGGTCATTCCTGCAGAGCCACGGATCGAAACACCTCTTGATGGAATATCAGACTCAAGCCTGCACAGGCTGACTGCCAACACGAAAGAACAGCACAGACACTGGAAAAGGACCTGAGAGTGTCCGGGACTTTTTGACCATATTCTGGTGAAACGTGTTTATTGAAGGAATAGGGCTGAGGTACTAGCAATAAAACAGAGGTGAGAGGTGGTAATGTGAAAGCCGAGGGTGGACTGAGAAACAGTTCCATATCCCAGGCCGCATGGCTCCACACAGCCTGGAACTGTCATTATAGGCAATGGAATTAACACAATAAACACAAATGCTATAAGATTCAGAGTCTTAATTTTCTCCATCTAGTTTTACTCATGTTTAGTACACAAATCAATCACCTAGCCTGATGAGAAGCCGTACAACCCTAAACAAATTTGCACTTTCAAGAAAGAAGCATGAAGTGTAGCCAGCTGGTGTTGGAACTGGGGAGATGAATGGAAAAGATACACAGTAAGTGTGGGGATGGGGATTGTTGCTGATCAGGGCTGGACCGAACGCATCACCTGCTTACATTGTGCTCACATAAGGGACACATAATCAGAGTCAGATGCAGAAAGGGAAGGAACCAGTTCTTAAAGCCACAGTGGGAAAACAAGAAACCAGAACAATTCCTGTATGGCTCAGTACCACATGAAGACAGCTGTCTTATCCTGTAGAAGAAAAGAACAAGGAAGTAACCCAGATCAGTGTCTTAAATGGTGACATTCCGAATAGCCCATCACACACTCAGACTGTCCCAATCCCAAGTGTCCACATACCCCAGGGTTCTATCCTCTGACCTCTCCCTTTCTAACATCAGGCCTTTTAGGGTGTCACTTTTTAAAGCCGTAACAGAAGACTGGACATCCTAGGAACTTTACTGCCCAGGGGAAAGTGATACAAGAGCAGATCAAAGCCTCTGAAGATGGAGCTAAACGAGGAGGTATGGGCTGGCTGAGAACCTCCGTGAGATCCTGTATACACTGCCCCAGGTGTCTCAGGGGTGATTCCCCCCTTTGTAATTACTGGCAAGTCTGAACATAGATGTTTCTTTTAACCCCTGGGAATAATCCCTTTTCTTAGAGCTCATGGATGCAGCAAGATCTAGTTGGCTTGGAGACATCTCCTGATTCTTATCTCAGAGTTCTCATCTCAGGGAAGTTTGCAGAAGTGTGACTGCAGATCCAGAGAAAGATGAGGAAACATGATGGAATAATGGACATTAAAAGGACTAACTGGGAGGTTGGGGATTTAGCTCAGTGGTAGAGCGCTTGCCTAACAAGCACAAGGCCCTGGGTTCGGTCCTCAGCTCTGAAAAAAATAAATAAATAAAATTAAAAAAATAAAAAGAGGGCTATCTGGACTCCTGGATATCTGTCATATGTAGAAATTTTCCGTATTAACAGCTGAGGATCAGGTCTCTGCCACCTCTATCACTGCAGTGATGAATCTGTTCATTATTTCCTTCACAATAGCGTTAATGTCAGCACATCAGCACAAGACTGAATAAGCAACTGTGTGGAGGAATCTTTGCTCTCCTGTGGCAGGGCACACTCTCAGCTGGACCTGATATTCCCATGGAGACTTGAACTCAGACCCTGCCCTTTCCTTACCTTTAGTCCTCCTCTTCCATATCAGAAAAGTCACCACGGCTCCCACAAGCACAGCTCCAAGAACCAGGCCAGTAACAATTGGCATGATGGGGACAGAGGGCTGAGGAGGTTCTGACAGAGAATGGAAGGAACAGTGAGGCCTCTGACCTCCAGCTTTCAGTCATGACCCTAGTCCATTTCCCTCAAATACTCCAACTGTCTGTGTGATAGGCTCTATGCTCACTCCCAGCCCTTACCCCATCTCAGTGTGATGGGCTCAGGCAGCCCCTCATGAGTCACGTGACATGTGTATAGCTGTGCCTCCCCATAAGGTACCACCACAGCTGCCCACTTCTGGAAGGTCCCATCCCCTGCAGGCCTGGTGTCCATCATCTCCATGTCCTGTGTCTGGTTGCTCCCATCCCTCTGCCAGGTCAGGGTGATGTCAGCAGGGTAGAAGTCCAGGGCCCAGCACCTCAGGGTGATTTTCCCATCAGCTCTCACCTTATGGGTCATGTGTGTTTTGGGGGTATCTGAGGGAAACAATTGAAAAATTCAGTCATTTTTCATTCTTCTTATGGATTCAGCAGAACTTGTGTGATAATGTTTGGAATGGATGGGAAAGCTGGGGTGGAGGAGGAGTACAGACTCCACCTTTCGGCCTAAACATAGGATATGAAGAGGATAATCTATTCTTTGGATAGCTTGAGAATCTGTGAGAGCCAGTACAGAGTAGGAGCCTTCAGGTCTCCCTCTGGGATATGGACTTCTGGTTCTGACTAGGTGGGGATGGAGAGATGCAGCAATGCTGGAGTCAGACCTCCCCAGTCATGGTCCGTGAACAGTGAACAGATCTGTGAGTGGGCATGGTTCATAAAGCCGATGGCGTGGGGAGAAACTGCTGCTTATTGCACAAACTGAATTCTCCCTCCCACTGAATCAGGGAACCGAGGAGTACTCTTGCACCTTTGTTGCAAGGCAGAATCCTTATTCCAGCTGCTCCCTGCTGAGGAGGACTTCTCAGGGGACAGGAGCTCCAGTCTCAGAGCAGATGGGCCAGTTCCCTTCCTTACCTGTTCTCAGCAAAATCTCCTTCCCTTTCTCAAGATAGTCTCGGAGATTATTCACGCATGTGTCCTCTACGTATGGCTTCAACAATTCCGCATAATCCTTCATCTTCCACTGATGCCTGATGATTTGAGCTGCCTTGCCATGTGCAGTCCAGGTGCTCTGGTCCTCATTCAAAGCGATGTAATCCGAGCCATCGTAGATTAATTCATAGTATCCACGATGGAAGTACCCTCCATGCATCACCGAACATCCATGTACCATCTGGACTGTGTGATATCCTGGCCAAACCCCCACTCTCAATCAGTCCCACAGGCCAGGTCCCTTGGTGGGCCCTCTACTTGGTCCGCCCTGCTCATTTGGCCTTTCTAATTGGCCAGGTTTGGATTTCAGCTGCACAGAAATCCAGGTCAGTGTCCTATGGCTCTCTGGAGCCTAGTCTCCATGAGCCACATTTTATGTGGGTGAACCTCAGACATGGTGACCAGGGGCAACCCCATGGGGACCTCAAAGATTGAGATTTCTGATTCAGGTTCACTTACCAGCTGTGCTCTCGTTGTAGATCTGGAGCACTGCCTTTAGTTGTTCTGTTAATTGCTTTGTGAATGTCAAGGCTCTCTGTGTCTCATACTCCCAAAATTCTGGTTTAGTCTGATGCATCCATTGAGCACGGGGTTCCATCCTTGGAGTCTCTGCTCTGCTGTTGTATCCCATGAACTGTGTGTCATCCACATAGCCAAGATAGGTAAAGTAGAAATCCACGAAGTCGGGCCAGGTCAGCAGGGTTTGGAAAAACAGCAACGAGTGTGAACCTAGGTGAGGTGGGCCTTTAGATGCCTAATTTCCTTCTAGGACCCCATGCTGATGCACAGGGGCTCCAGCTTGGGGGCCTTGAGCAGGGGTCAGGGTCAGAAAGCAGAATGGAGAAGGGAACAGGCTGGACTGTCTGGGACAGAGGTGGAGACAAAGTTCCTTGCTTGTGCTACCCTAAAGTAGGAGTCATTTTGCTCCTCCGGGTTAGGAAATTTCCCTACCGACACCCACACTCACCCTCTAGATGGTTGGTCAGGGCCAGATTGGCCAGGAGCAGCAGCAGGAGAGCCTGGGGAGCAAGGGTCTTCATCCTGTATGATGAGTGCAGACTGAGTCTCTGCTTAGTCTGTTCACAGTACAGTCTTGATGTGGAGGAGTCTGATTGGCTTCTCTAGGTATTCCCGATGGTAATGAAACAAACCTTTTGGATTGGGTCATGGAGAGATGAAAACCTGGAAGAGGAATCTCTAGGGCCCTGCTTCCACAACTCAGATCCATCTCTGGGTCCTGGTATGCTTGAGCAGTGTTGGGGGACAAATTGCTTACCCTGATCTTTGTCCTGCTGGTCCTAATCGTAATATTCTTCTGTGCCCAGCTCAGAGGCCATCGAATCAATGATTCTCAAACATGTCTGTGACTGGATGTCTACATGTACTCATGGTATGTACATTATATCAATCCATGTTCATCATGTTGGGAACTGAGAATTTTTCAGACATTTGCTTAATTGAACACATTAATAACAAATTTCATATAAGCAGAATATTTATTAAAAAGAAATAACTACTTTCCAAAGTACAATGATATGGTGGAAAGATATTTACATTTCTGCCTGTCCTTGACCTCATCTTTCCCACTAAAGTTCCCTCGGATTCTGATTTTCCTTTTTAATGCCTCTGTTTTCTTTACAATATGCAAAATACAGTTTCACAGAAATATACAGAAAGAATATTTTTAGGATTTATTTTCAGTTGGTGCTTATGTGAATGTTTTTGTGTGAGTGTGGGGGAGTGCAGTTGTCTCTGGAGGTTAGAAGAGGGTGTTAGAAACCCTGTAGTAGGATGGACAGGAGGCTGTGAGCTCCCAGACTTCTGGGACTCCAGTTCTGGTCCTCTTTACAGATTAGCCATCTCTCCAGCTACAGCAGGCATGTTTTTATTAATGTCTTCAAGTCATTTTCCTTTCTTTTGAGGCTGACCTACAACTCACAGACATCTGCATGCCTCTGCCTCTCGAGTGCTGAGTTGAAGGTGTGGGCTATTTTGCTGGGCTCATTGGTGATATTTCTCTTTGAGACGTCACTAGCCTGACAAAGGTGGTGCCTACATTCTGGAAAATAGGACATCATTGGATCCTTCATAATTTGCTGCATCCATGTCCACAGGAGAGTCTTGTTCATTGAGTGGATGTTTTGTTAACGAATGTTACTTTCAAAAGGTAGACTATTGCTGACCGAGTTTATAGGTCTTTCAGTGTTCATGCATTTAAATAAATATTATTAGATCTGAGTTGTTAATATTACCATGAATTTCAACAGAAAAATCTGTGAGCATTAAGACATGGTTAAGCTTATAGTGAGGAATTCAAGTGCTCTCAAAATGTTCTCTGTAGAGCTTCATATTTATCAGTGCTGTAGTGAGCTGAAAAAGAGCTGGGAGGCAAAATGATTGATTCACATTTTATGTTATAGTAGAAACAGCATAGAGTTGTTGCAAAGACTACATGGTAGGCAGGAAGAAGAGTTCTAGTGCTGTGTATGGCAGTGGTTGAAGGAGCTCTACTTTGGACAAGTACTGTTCATTAACGTCTTGTGCGTGCGTGTGTGTGTGTGTGTGTGTGTGTGTGTGTGTGTGTGTGTGTGT